CCAAAGCAAAACGTCGCAAATTTTTAAAATTTTTCAGGAGAAATAAAAACTTATTTTTTTTTAAATTATATCACTTCAAAAATTCTATAACAAATTGCTATATTAAAGATATAAGCAATTAGTTTCTGCAAAAAATTTTAATTAGAGATAATTAAAAATCGTGTTAAAGATATTAAAATTTCAAAACATTGTGTGTGTAAGTCTAAATAAAAATGCTAGTCAAAATATTTAAATCTAAGTAAAGATACAAATTGTATAATGAACACACAATGTTTCGATTTACTTATTTTTTTTTACTTTGCAGTAGCATTCTCCACAAAAAATATTAATATGACATAAAATATATCAGTTATAACTTATTTAATACAGTAAAACATAGTATTTTTATAATTTTGACAATGTTTATTATGGCAAGCTTATATGCTATTATAATTTAAGAGACAAAAAAGATTGCAAAATTATATTACGTTCTTTTTTATTCGTAGTAGATATTATTACTACTTGATTTTTACTTTTATGGAAATTTTCTGTAATCTAAACTTTCTTTCTATTTAGCCATTGGGCAAGAACAACGATGTTAAAACGAAAAAGACGAAGAAGACGATTAATGCGAAATACTTCGATAAGAAAGTAGGTCTTTCGTGTTATCAGAAGTTATTGGTTTCAAAATATAATTTAAAAATTAGATAGTATTAGATATTTTAGAATTGATGTGTTACCAATAATGTACAAAATATTTCGCTTATTGACTACAATAGCAATTTAATTTAAAAATTGTTATTTTTTAGTTGCTTCGTAAAAACACATAGGAACATATAAAGAGAAAAAGCATACTTTAAGAGCATATTTAGATAAAAATGGTTCCAAAATTATTATGTTTTTTTTTCATTTATATACGTTGACAAAAAAGTTGCTGATTAAAAATAATATTAGTTAATTTGATTAAACGCAATGATTGTAGGCTGTCAAGCAAATATTTGTTAATTTAAATAAATAATATGTTTTAAATTATAGATTTTATTGACATGACTCGCGTATATTTAACCTACATATATAAATACTTGAACTAAATAATCATTACAAAATAAATGTAGTTAAGTCAACTTTTTTCTCACTGTAGACATTATTACTATTTGTTTTACTTTTATAGAAGCTTTTTTTGATCTAAATTTCTTTCCCATCTAGCCATTGGTCAAGAAAAATGATCATAATATGAAAGAGAAAAAGAAAATGATGATTAAAGAGGAATACATCGATAAGAAAGTAGGTCTTTTGTCATTAGAAATTATTGATCCTAAGATATAATTTTATAATATATATTAGATATTTTAGAATTGCTGCGTTACAAATAATGTGCAAAATAGATATATTGCTTACTGATTACATAGCGACTTAACTAAAAAATTATCACTTTTTAGTTGCTTGTAAAAAAAGAATAGGAAAGGCCTCTATTATGAGATATCGAGTTCATTTTGGGTAAATACTAGAAGTTTCTATGGTCAGAATTTAAGAAAATAATAAATCATTTAGAAGGGAATTTAATAAGCTGTAAGATAATGTTATATAAAATTTAATTCAAATTTTATTTTTTTTTTTTAATTAAAGAAATTTAAAAAATGAGTCAAAAAATTGTGCTCCTAATATAAGATGCCCCGAAAAATCGATAATAAAACGCGAAGTATATCAGTATTGCAATTAAAAAACTTTATTTCATGTTCTAAAATACAAACAAACACAGCCAGCGTGCGCAAAAAATGAGCATGTGATAGATTATACCCAAAACTCGTCTTCAGGTAGTTCGAATCAAGCATTGCAAAAATAGGCACTCGATGTTTATTCTGGTTATCCTTTTTATTATTGTACAATAATATTTATACTTTAGTAACGATTTTCACTATGACATAGGAGCATGGGTTATTTCATATTAGAGGTACCCTGGGTATTTCATATTACGATTTCCACGCCTTACAGTTTTACCGTCATCAAATCTAACTTCTACATACAATTAAGCAATTTTATATATCCCGTATTTTTCTATTAATATGACCTTACTCTATCATGAAGAATTTATTGCCTTGTTTATTATTTAATAAATATTTATTTATTGAATAATAAATAAAGTTTGAAGACTCATCTCAATGAAACTTGAAGACATCTAAATTCTAAAATCTTTTTTTTACAATGACTACGGGCATGATCTAATAATGAACTTTCTACTAAATAGTTTTCAATCCAAAAGCAATAAATTTATGGTGGAACCAATAGATAGCGTTTATTAGTTTAACAGAAACGCCGCTATCTCATGTTAGGCGCCTATCTCATAATAGGGGCTCTCCTCTACATAATAATACGTATTTAAATATAAAAATTATCCGTTCTTTTTTATTCGTATAAATAACTATTACTACTTATCTTTTTTTACTTTTACGTAAGCTTTCTTTAATTTAAATTTCCTTTCAGCCATTAAATAAGATAAATAATAATAAAGCGAAAAAGATGAAGAAAATGATAATTAAAGCAGAATATTTCGATAAGAAAATAGACCTCCCGTCATCGGAAATTATTGGTTTCAAAGTAATTTTGTAATACAGATTTAGATATTTTAGAATTGTTGCGTATTAATAATGTACAAAACATATAACACATTACAATAATGACATAACTAAAAAATTGTCATTTTTTTAGTTTTTTGTAAAAAGAGAATAAAAATATAAAAAGAGAAAAAAGCGTACTTTGAAAAAACACACTTTATTCTCTTATAATCAGTTATTCTTAAAAAAAATTGTTTCAAAATTAATATTACAAAGTTTTAATAATTCAAAATATTTAAAATTATTTTTTCAAAATCTTTATTTTTTGAATTGTGTTGTTGGAACAATGCGATATTATTTAATATTATAAGAATATATGTACCACATACATTATATAGTTCAGAGTTTTATAAACTAATTTATATCTGTCATTTTGCCTCAATATTTATATAATTTATTTGATAAGTAGATTATTTAGCTCGCAATTAATCTAAATATTATTTAAAGGTCGTGGATGAAGATACAGAGATAATACAAGGCAACTACAGTTTGTCGAATCGTACAAGAATTAAACCCTATCACTTCAAAGCTTGCTTTATTTCGGCTATATTATGCATTTTGGCTAAAGACATACTAAATGTAGATCGCTTTTGCGACAGTATTCTAGATTATTTGATCTTTTCCGCTAATAGCATCGATCAACAAATCTGCAAACTGCGATGCAATGGATATAAAACATTTGATAAAGTAATCGTTCTGGATACAAATTTCAACATTATTCTGAAAGAAATCATTTGTGCTAATCCCGAGAGTTCTCCGTCCGACGAGCTTGATGCGGTAGTCAGTAAATTTCTAGAAAACAATCAAAGTGGTATATTGGTATTAGCAAATTGCGCCTATGCATTTTGGACAGCGGACGATAAATACTATCTCTTTGATCCTTATCCTTGCGACGTGAGGGGAAAGGCCAACGAGGAAGGCTACTGCTGTCTCATGAGATTTCGTAATTTGAAGACCATGCTCGACAGAATTAAAGAAAACGCTGGTAAAACTGCAAGAAAACCTTTCCGTATCTATAGCGTATTATTTACTTACACAAAAATGAAAAGACGGAAAGGTATCGAACGTCGCCTGAAATTAGAAGAGGTGACGAAAGAATTGATTTTTAGCAAAGAAAAACAGGAAGTATTAACGCCAACAGTCCAGTCGGAAGTGTCTCTAATCGAGTTAGCCGAGTGGGTTACTGCGGGCCCAGAACTGGATCCGCATTATGACATCGCGGTGGCCGGTTTTATACCGATGCGGCATTACGAAGCCTCGATGCTCGAGGAAGTTGTTTTGGAGAACGACATTACGACGCCTACATTAGCACCGTTCGAACTATTTCTAGATGATGAAGATCACGTAAAAATGGCGAAGGAGAGAATAATACCGCCCGAGAGAATATTTCATGACAACTCGTCCATCCAGATCCCAATCGATCTTTGTATCATGGCGTGGTCGTTGATTCACGATCCAGCCTCTTGGTCGGAACGCACTATTGACGGCTTAATCGAGGCCGCTACCGATTACGCTTACGACAGCGTGTTGGCTAATGAGGACACTTCCGTGATTGATATGACCGATGCGGTGTTACCGGAATTCGAAATAGCAAATTACGTGTTTCGGGCAGTATTTGCGCCGCTACACAATGGGTTCTTATACACCACGGAGGGATGGAATCTTGTAATGACCCTGGAGAAAATATTCGAAACAGCGATCTACACTGGCGCGATTATCGTTTGCAATTCCGTTCACATAGGTGTCACGAAATGCGGCAAGAATTACTTTGCCTGGTGGACAGTCACGGGGACAAAAAACCTGAGAATAATCGCGACCAGCAACTTTGACGAGTTTCTTAAGCTGATCGTTAAAGTAATCAACATGCCGCAGACGATTGGATTTATCGCAAGAGCGATCACCATATCCCATGCTCTGAAAATGGCACCAGATTTCAGCGATGTCAAAGGTCTTCATAAACCGAAAGTAACGACGGCGTCTCTACCAGAGATTTATCGGAAAGAGCTTCAGGATTCTTACGACGTCAAAACAATTTTCAAACCAACCGATCCCATATCGAAACCGATCTTCATACTTGGAACGGTAGCTCTTCGCAATCGCGACAGTCTACTGGAGCCGCAGATGAAACGTTGCTATTTCATTGCGTTACTGGCTGTTGTAATAAAGAGAGATATTGTTCAGTCCCCACTTCCTGGTATGATCGACAGAATTCTCGAAGTGGCGGAAAATTTGTACAGAGGATTTCCTGCCGAGTCAAAATTTCATGCGGAGCATATCTTGCGAAATGTTCCGCTGATGAACAGGTTCTTTGATCTTCGTGATTGCGCGTTACCCTTAGTTGTACTGACAATGAATTCTCAGACTGGCAGAAATGATTTTTACGTGCAAGTGAGCATCGAGAATAAGAAAGAAAATTACTCTTCTTCTGTTTTCTTTTTTTTTTTTTATAAAAAAGGAATAATGCTCTTATTTTACTTTGTATAATTTTACCTAACACAGTAATTTATTTTTTAAATATACTTATCATTTTATGTCAATTTATTTTATTATAATTATATTTTAATATGTTCTGTCGCATAGCTCTATTTGTTAAAAAAATTTTTTAAAACAATTTTTATTTATTTTTATACATATTTATATTTATTAATTATTATAATCTGTCTAAAACAGTTTAAAATTGATTACATTTAAAATTTATTATTTTTTACACTAACAAGACTTTTTTAAATTATTCTATTAATTTCTATCTGTTTATACCTACTTATTATATGCTAATCGACAATAATTTTGTTAAATAGGTAATTTTAGCTGATTTTGAGATTTTGAAAATGAGTTAGAATTTATCCTGTAGGCTTCGATTTTTATAAATACGACATATCTCTTTTTAAAAATTATACATTTTGCTAACAACAATTCGTTGTGTCTTTATCTTAATTGAAATTATTTATTTTGCTTTGAAAACCTTTTATAATAAGTAGGAAATTATATAGATATTATAATTAGCTATTTTCTATGAATATTTATATTATATTTAAGCAAAAAAAGTATTTTAATATTTATGATTTCTAAGAATATATTTATGCCTTAGCAAAAGAGAAATTTTTAAATGCAAATTAAAAATATTGTTCTCATAAATTTGACAAATATTTATATAAGAAACACTCTTTTAAATCAATTTTAATGATATACAAATCAATGTTTATAACATACAAGCAGTAAAATTTTGTCGATCACAGTGAATTATCGGAACGTATCAATTTATAAAATTTTTTAACATATATTACTAAAAAATCTTGCCTTTTTAATAAATTCAGTAAATAGATTTTGAATCAGTGCAAAAAAATATTATAAAAAAACATTTTATCAAATCAATTTAATATAAGAAAAATGAAATGTCAATCAGTAATTAGTTTAAAAATAATTTAGATTGCATTTAAAATTTATTGAAGCTGGAATTCTAGTTCTTAATACATAATTTTATTTTATATATAAACATGATTATATCAATGGTTTTAGGTGAAACATCATCTGAAACGTTATTTTAAGATGCACACAAGTGGTATACTGCACTTTACAAATTGCTGTTACGGCTTTTGGTACTCGAGAACGACCAACTGCTATTATTACCTGGATCCCTATCAATGTGATACGGATGGCAGAAAGACTTGTGTCAACGGCAACGCCTGTCTCTGCATCTTCTCTCGTGTACGTCATATGGTGAAACACATGTGCCTCAATCAGTACGAAGGCACGACTGGATTCTTTCTCCATAGAATTCACGTGAATTCCATCAATGCGCCGCCGTTTGAGAAATTTCAGGAAGATCCAATGTGGCTCTATTTGGATTATCACTGGAATTTTACGCATTCAATTATGAGATCGCGTAACAAAGCGAAGTGCAGCGATAGGTCAAAGGCCAATCACCAATTTTGGAATAACTACGCGATCGAGGTGATAGGTCTAATTTACTCCATCTGGGGCACGATCGGCGCTTATGATTGTCGGTTTGGTGAACGAGCCGGGAAAAATTGTGTCGCTATATGCGTAGCTGTCCTGGCTATGCGGAATCTTTGTCATCCTTCGCGATGGAGTCCGGCGATTCTGGACTCTGCCGTTATTTGCGGAGATTCCTACTACACGGAAAGTCTGAAGAGTTTAATGAGATGCTCGAAGCCTGATAACAGGTTCGGCTTGCAAACTTCCTTCAAGATATTTCCACACTCATGGACCATTGATTTCGGTACCAGTGTGTGCGGGATTCTGTATGGCGAACAGAATAGCTTAACATTAACCGACGCGCTGAACTTCGCCTTTGAAGAGGCGTGTACCGTTATCATCGAGTGCAACAGGATTGCCTTGGCAGCTTTAGCGGCTAAAGACGCTTATTATATTGCCGATCCTTGCTGGATCGGTCAGCCGTTGTTTTTGAGAAATCGTGGCGCGATCTATGTTCTACGTTGCAAAAATATAAACGTTCTAATATACGTGATCACAAAGATGTTTAATACCAATCAGAGACTTACCGTATACATCACGCCGATAAACCTCGCGTTTGACAGAGAAGACTTCGAAACGGATCTATGTACCACGAGAAGAAAGATTCTGCCAACAGTTGTACAAAAAGTTCCGGGAAAAATCAAAGACCCTCCCATACCTATTCCGGGAGCGGTCATAGTACCCGATGAGGATTCTTACTTACACATAGTAAAAAATATTTTGTATTTGTTAAGCGGTCGAGCTAGATCTCAATGTTGAAAACAATTTGTGTACATTTATATACCACAATTGTAATCTTGTAAACTGAGCGTCGAAATTATTTTCAATTTTGAAACACAATTAGAACTAGAGTAATAATATCACAAATTAAATTGACAAGCAAGAAAATTTCGACGCGCAATTTACAGGATTGAAATTGTGGTATATAATTTCACACAAATTGTTTTTAGCATTAAGATGTAGCTTGACCAAGTAGTCTTTATTCTTAATTGTTGGTGTTATTCACATATCGCGGTCTTTAAAATAATACTTTAACATTGTTTTATATTTTCGTTATTCAATCTGGTCCACTCAAGTCCTTGTTAAAATTTTGTATTAAATTTTTAAGATATCCAAGTGTTAATTTAATCTTTAAGTGGGCAGAGGTAAGGTAGTCACAGCTTCAAATATAGTTTTATTTAAAACTTTATTTTATAAAAGAAAAATAGAAAATATTAGAAAAAAAAATTATTGGCTAGAAGTTAGGCTAGAAGTCTTAAAGTCTTCATTATTTTTACGTTCCTCTATATGTCCTAAAGATAACTAATGCAAATTTAACTAATATAATAGGAAATATAATTATAAAATTAAAATTATTTTTGGAGTGTTTTGAACACCCCACCTACTAACTTGTATATTTTAAATCACCTATCTATTTAAAGATTAATATACAATAATATAATTTTTTTTATGTTATATAAATATTTTATATTCAATTAATATTTAATATCTCTTAGTTAAAATAATATAATTTATAAGTAAATAAACAAATAACATAAAAGTAATGTATTTAAAGTTCTAGAAATGATTAAAATATATATATTAATTTAACCTATCATAAATGTCAATTTTACTGAAAAATATGCTTCTACAATTTGCTTCTATAATTTACTACAAATTGTGTTAATATTACATTTTTGTATCATTTTTTTTACATAATATTTACTTTCTGATAGTTACTTTCTAACATTCATGTTGCGATAAATTAATATAAAAATTTGAGTAGACACGTGAAATATGTTGAATTTAACATAAATTTTTCAACTGTACAGTATCGTCAGCACCTTGCCGAGGGTATTGTCAGAGATTCCCAGCTGGAAAGTTTACCACTTTATTGTGCGGAATATGTACTGAATCCCGAAAATGTGAACAATGCGCTTGTGAGCACCAAGTGGCGTATGAATCTCGGTCAAGCACGTTCCCGGAAAAGACCTAAGCTACCCTTGAATTCTGTCGAGATAAAGGATGATTTATTAGAATCTGATTCTTTGACAAATCTATATAAGACGCAAATTTCCATCACAGATTTGATTACCGCGAGCAATCGTTATCCAAGACCGATAGACTTCGCCAGTAACGAGCCTCCTAGAATAGAAACGCTCGAAAATATCAGCAAACGTAGCATCAGAGAGCAAAGTCATGTAGATTTCGACAAGAACGTTGCGGAAATATCTCAGGAAAACTATGCTAGTTCTCAGCAGCTACCCAAAAGTCTAATTAAAACTGAGATTTCAGATATCTCAGCGAATGTAACAACCGATATAGAACAAGAATGATCAAAAGCGACATGGAATTTTACGATAAGAAGTTCATTTAAAGTATAAATGGAAGTTTAAACGTTTTTATTCGAAATTCTGCCGCAAAGACAGCAGAGAAAAAAGTAAGATTAATTATTCTGATTTCATACGTATCAACATTATGCAAAATCGATTTATTTAAAAATCTACTAAGGACTTTATTTTATCTCTTGGAAAACTACGCCTTAAATTAAAAATAATAACTGATAAATAGAGAACAGATATTTTTCCGTCAATTATAAAATCATTATCTTTTTATATACATGTAAAAATCACACATAATTACACCTGATAATAACACCTGATATACAGCTCTACTTATAGAAATGATATATATGTATTATGTGTGTGTGGCACGCAACTTTATATGTGTATCTATGTAAAATTGATAATTAATTAAAGTATAAAGATTATTAAACAATTGTTAAGGGTATAAAAATTTATTTATAATCAAGTAATAAATTCTTACACAATCAAGAACGATAAGTTTATCACAATTATCTTCATTAATTTATAATATTTTGTTGTTTATGCAATATGCTACCTTTTTATTTCTAAATCTCATTAATTTCTAAATTATTTTGGGCGGAAAGGATATTGAACATAATTGAAAAAGATTGAATACATTTATCGTATCTTTTTTAGGATAAAATAGCTATTTAGAGTAAAAAAAAAAAAACTAAAATTAACATTCACACAAACAAAAATTATGGAAGATTTTATTAAAAAAGTTTACAATTAAAAG